AAAAACCAGGTAGGGTTCCCTGCTATATATTTCTTTGGTGACGAACTGATCGGCGACTTCATAGTTGATTTTTTCTCACTACTCAAGCTGTTCTCTTGGTCGTCTCATAGTACTGATTTGGTTGAAATCCTGACACAGAATGGGCAGGCAGACAGATCAAGTGAGATATTTGCTTACATGATACTAGCAGTTTCTATAGTTTCTCAGACTGTTGGCAAGTTAATATTCTAAGCACATTTTTTTGTCTATGTAGATTCAAGAAATCTAAAACATGTTGCATTCCCAGCCGTCTGGGGTGCCAAATTTACCAATTACCAAAGCTATCAAGTCCAAAGCAGGGAGAAATGGCAGTCATTGGAAACTTGCATGCGTGCCTAGATTAGGATTACCTGTGTTTCTCTCATAAAATTGTATGAGGGAGAGAAGATCTTTTGGACCATGATATCTAATCATTGATGTTTGATTCACCAGTAATATAGCTGGCATGCTATGGATTCCATATCTTGAAAATACACTGCAGAGCAAAAACACACATGAACATACATAAAAAATAAGCAACATTTATAAAGGTTATCATGTAACTAGACGTAATTTCTGCCAAATCTCAAGTTTCAATGTTTAAGAAGAAGAAAGACAAAGTAGCACAGAAGAGAATCTAACATTATTTCAGGACATTAGACTAGTCAAAAGGGAACTGCGTTTGCTAAAAGAAGCATGAACTAATAACTGCTATTTGAATACCATCTGCAAATTACAGACTTAGCATATAGCTAAAAAAAAAAGAAGAAGAATTCATAGTAGCACAGAAGATCAAGATTACATGAAGGGAGAGTTTCAAAACCTTGGCAAGGTCAATGACTGCTCAACTACCAAATGCTCCACTTGAGGATATATGGAACTAAGAGTTTCAATTTTAGGAAGCACATTCTGCGAAAATGGGCACCAAGAAGCATAAAAAAGTACAGAAATATATCCGATGCTCTGCTTTCCAGGCAAAATGCCTTCTACATAACTCCCGTCTACCTGAACAAATTGAAGTAACAAATTAAATACACCTAATCCAAATCTGCAGTTGGGATAAGTATAATTGAAAAAATAGAATCAAAGGCAGAGGAAAATCCACTTATGAAGGACAGTAAAGCGGAAAATCATAGTTCTAGATATTCAGGGATCTTGGATGAGGCCAATTTTTTCATAAGAACAAACAGAATCACCAAGAGAAATTTCAAGACCCTAAACTTTTTGGCACGATGAGGTTGCCTAAATATGACCCATGAATGAACTCCAGCTTAGATAAAACATCTCAAGTATGGTGTTAATTAATTTAAGTACCAGAATGAACAACATTTGGACTTGGGACATTGGGAGTCAGGTGTCCACAAATGGGCAAACTTATAAGCCATTTTCCTGTGAGATTAATTCATTACGGCTTTAAATAATGTGTGTATAATTTTCATTAAATTAAGAGTTTACCTTGCAAGCATAATGTTTCTTTTAGACGCTTGGACCATTAGTGTGTTTGGGTTTAGAGTTAGGCCCTTTTACCAAGCCGAGGACATTTGATTAAGAAGTTTTTTCTTTATTCCCTTAGAGTTCTTTTGCTGTTTTTATTTCCCTCTCTCTGTCTCTCTCTGCTTGATTCTCCCATCCAAATTTGTAGATGCATGTAGGGACCCGATCCTTCATTAAGTTTTCTACTTTTCAAATCTGGGTGATAAAGAAATCGGTTAATTAAATCCCCAGTTTATTTACTTGACATAGTCTCTTATGAGCCCTAACTTTTGTTTCTGACTCATTCTCCTATCTATAAGAGATTTGATCTCGACAAGTCTGTTAAGAAAACTGTAATCCTTTTTAGATAAATTCTTTTGTTAGAATAACTGCATTCAATAAGATGAATACAATTACTAATCACAATAAGACGAATACAATTACATTTTGTAGCTTTGTTGACCCTTCACAATGATGACTTGCAAAATTATGTGGAAGGTTAGCGTGGAAACAATCGATTGGTGGCTTCCCGTCTCACCAAAATACCTGTTTGTGGTCATTGGGTAAACCTTGATGTGTAGTATCACATTGGAGCAGTTTCTCATGACAAGTTTAAAAGGTGTTCCTCATCAAAATAGGTTCAGCAAACTACCAAACAATATTATATACTAAACTAGGACACAGCCATATTTTAGACAAATAAGATTTATACAGTTCTAAACCTGAGCCAAACAGAAACTACCCCCAAAGGTCTTGAAAGATATAACGAGGCTAAGTTTTGAAACAGTGGGCAGTTTATGACGTTCCAAGGTGCAAAAGGTGTAGTGGAGTGAACTCCTCACAATTACAAAGCTTACTTTTGCAATGCCTCTCTTTTTGTATGTTGCCATAATTTTCTTATGGGAACATCACAGTTTAACATGCAGTTAATGTGGCCAAATTTCTTGGATTCGCTCACTCCTTTCCTCTGTTTTACTCTTCCATTTTTCTCTAGCAATTTCTCCATAAAAAATACTAAATGAATCTTGGACTAGATCTTACTACTACATGTGCATCAAGATTTCAAGTTGATGACTGATATGTTACAAAAGTTCAACAAATAAATGTCATAAACGTTATTCAAACTTGCACTTGTAATATAAAGGGCTTGATTGATATGGGTCAACTAATAGGGTATACATTAGAATGAGGAAAGGATTTAAAACATTGTTACTGTTAACTTTATATTCTCTAAATGATAATATAGGATATCACACACGCATATTTCTTCATTATATCAATAACATCTGATTCTTATTCGTGACAACACTTTGTTTAATTGAATCCAATTATCTTTAGGTGAGTTCTTTAAAAACTTTGGTATTCTATAGATTCTTCCCCCAATTAACAAAGAAACCTTGGGAGAATTCTCACCTAGAAAAACACGATTGCAAAGTATTGGCCTGCTTATTTCTCACAAAGGAACAGAATACACTCTGCCCAGTGAGTATAATAAACTAATTCTCAGTCAACTACAATTAATAAGAATTGAGTATATATATTCTTCTTCTTCTTCTTCTTAAAAAAGAAGATAAAATTAAATAAGAATTATAGATTTCTGGTTAAAAGCCCAGCTCATCACTCATGAAGGGGACAGTCAGGTGGAAATCTTAAACTAGCAACTATAACGTCTCAGACTAGTAACTAACTTGCTAAGCCCAGGTTTGATGCTACATGATCTCACAAACCGCGTCCCTGTAATTATATATGTTTAGCTAGAACCGCAAATAAAATCCATTTATTTGAGCCCATGTTTGCGAATGGTTTTCCCTCTACACAATGCTAACTGCTAAATAGAAACCTTTTATGTCCAAGACGCGAGAATCGTATACGTCAAGTTAGAAGGCCGAACGCAGTAGAGTCCAAGCAAACGGAAGAGGCAAGTGCTCCAATAAGCGCTTCATCAACACTTAGTATCAATTTATCATCTTTCTATCTAAACCGTGACAAATTCAAAATGCCCACAAAGAGTTCTCTGCTATTTGCAATCAGACATGCCCATCTAGTATTCTGATCCCCCAATTTCACTCTATGAAATAATGGCCTGGCTCTTGGAACGGAGTCCCATGAATTAAATTCCATTTTATAATAGCCTTGGCTTAAGTAAATGAAAGTACCTAGGAATAGAGCCGTTAAAATGTCAACGAATAAAATAAATCCGCTTAAAAAAAAAATCAATTCCCGAAATGAAAATCACGTATGAATAAGAACAACAAAGGAAAAAGAGAGAGTGAGAAGCACGCAAGCAAAGACAAATTGGAAATCAATTAGGGAAATTTACTGAAAAATTAAAAAGAAAAATGAAAAAGAAAGTCAATAAACATATACCTGAAGAGGAGGATTTGGCGAGATCAACAGAGGGCATTGGGATTTAAGAGTATAAAGAAATAAAGCAGAGTCGCGATGACACAAAGACGAGGATGATGCATACTGTAGCAAAGAAAAAGCCGTCATGTAAAGGAGAAGGATCGAGGCGGCCATCGTGAAGACAGGGACGCAAATCGCAGAGCTAAAAGACAACAAAGGGGTCTTGGTGATGAGCTGAATTTGGTCTCCCGAAAATCTTTCTGGTGCTATCTTGTCTCTTCTGCCTGGAGTCACGCTGGGTCTGAAAATGGAGGTGGAGGTGGTGGGTGGGTATTGCTGGAGTGGGTTCAATCGTTGGATTGGTTCGCCGATCCCAACCAGAGGGTCCAAGGGAACCTACTTTTCCAGCTCAAATAGCGCTTTCCATATTATCGCCATGCTCTCACTGTCATAAAAATCGCTGTCTCCTCCCCCTCCCTGCCTCGTGTGCGCGTGCGTACACAAGAGGCGCCCTCTTTTTTCTTCTTCTTTTTTTCTTTTTGTGTAATTTTTCGTCCTGTGCTTTATAAATAATGCAACATTCATAAATTTCATATTTTATGTTGATCCAAGTCGATTAAATAATATTTTGACATAAGTGAACTTATTTTTATTTTGAGGACCACAAGATTTTGTGTTCTCTTATTTACACCGGTGGGGGCAAAAAAAAGTAAAAACTACCCTGATTAGGTGAGAGATGCTATATGATATTCCATGCTCCTTAAAATTTTGCAGTCCCTAAGAAAATCTTGTTTAAGTAAATCATATATATTATAAGTCTTGATTGGCATGAGTTTCATTTCACGCATTGAAAAATTTTCTCCATTGAGGCAAACCAAAAAAAAAAAATTTACTCAAGAAAATAGCAAAAGAAAAACACTAAGTTTAATCGGCAAATAAATAAATAAATAAAATCTAGAAGGATGGTTTGGTGGATATCTATTAGTAGTTTTGTACGACACCAAGTTCAGATATTTTGGGCCAAAAAACAAAAAGAGTCCAGATATATATTTTATTTTTATTAAAAAAATATACTGTCTATTTTTGTTCTTATGATTAAAGACTATTCAGATTTTTTTTTTTTTTACGAAAGACTTTGCTCCAAGCCAGAGGACTTTGGAAATCAATCAAGTAAACGCCCAAATAAAATTAGATTTCTTCTCTTGGAAGGTGCGATTAAATGCAATCCCCGCTATTGAAAATCTATGCAGTTGATAAATGTTTTTGAATGTATTTTCCAACTTGAGGTCTCATGCACATGAAGAAATTAAAATTATACTACTTACCAATAATAATTGAGTCTGATAAAAAAGATTAACTCTTTATAACAAGACCGATCACTATTCAATTTTTTTATTGAAAAATATGTTTATAATTAATTCCCCACAAATTGCTTTTAACATGAGGACAATAAAAAAATTATACCATTCATTTATGAACAGGGATGTGATTCATTTTTTTTTTGTTTATAAATTATATACAATACTTCCTTTAAACCTATTTATAATATAAAGAAAAAAAAATTTTTTCAATTCTATTTATAAAGCAGAGATAAATTTTTTTTTTAATTTTTTATAAATCATATTATTAATTTTTATCAAAAATTTCCTCTCTTACCCTACATAAAATATTAGGGAGAGAAAATATATTATTAAAATATGTATATTTAATAGATAAAAGTAACTTATTAAAAACAGAGTTAATAAATTTTGAATTTTTTTTAATATTAGTGAAATATATTAAAAATAATTTGTAAATGAGATTAAAGAAGTATATTACTGTAGAGTACAGATAGGGAGGGTCGGTTTTCCTTCTTTGCTAAATGCTCTACGGTAATGGCTTGAGGCGTTAAGCTGACTTGGACCAAAAATAAAAATAATAATGAAAATAAAAAAGAGAACGTAGTGCCAAGCCCTAACCGGAAGCGCGAAGGAAGAAGGCGCCTTCTTCCGCTCATTCTCTGTCTCTGATCTTCCAAAGCGCTGTGAACATTGATCACAAAGGTAAAAGGAATTAGGGTTAACGGATATGGCAGCCGAGAAGAGAGAATTAGAGATCAGCAACAAGACTTCCTATGCTAACTCCAACAACACCGACCCCGAGCAAATCATAGATTCTTCGCCTCCTTTGGCTTCCGATGGCAACGATACTGTTGATAAGGAGGCTGAAGAACGACAGGCCCGTGACCTCAAAGCCGGTCTTCATCCCCTGAAGGTTTCTCCCCCTATTTTCTGTTTAAATGACTGTTTGTGTTATTATCCTCTCTGGATCTTGGCAATCATAAACGGTCCAAGGCCAGCTGCACTTGAATATTTGTTTTTATTGTTGATTATTTTTTTGGATAATTTTGAGTCGAGAGAACATTGCTGAGCGGTTTTTGTGACCAGCATTTTCATTTTCATTTTTGAGCTCAATTTATGTTTATTTCAATTATATCCTGAACTTGGGAGTTGGGACTTTCTATTTGATTCGAAAGCAAAATAATTACTCTTTACATGAGAGGATGCATTGCTGATGTTCTCTAATTTCCTTCGAACTCAAAGGCTTTTGCGCAATTTGACCGAACCATTTATTGATTTTGTGTCGGTAATGTCTTTGAGCAGCACAAGTTTGTATTTTGGTATACCCGCCGAACACCTGGAGTTCGAAATCAGACATCATACGAAGACAACATAAAGAGAATTGTTGAGTTCAGTACGGTAAGATCCTTTCGCTTGCAAGAGTCAAACTACGCGAATTGAAATACTTGCCTCATTGCAAGTTTTCATTCGTCGGCGCTTTCCTGATTCTTTATTGTTGCATATTAATAGGTTGAAGGTTTTTGGGTTTGCTATTGCCATCTAGCTCGCCCTTCCTCCTTGCCAATTCCAACAGATTTGCATCTTTTTAAGGAAGGAATTCGCCCTCTGTGGGAGGTAGTAGGCATTCAAAATCCTGACCTTGGAGTTTTTTCCCCCTGATTGATTGGAATTTGGAAATGTCTGAGCTGTTCTGATATTTTCAACATTATAACAGTTTTAATTTGCAATGACATGCTGGGTTATTTTTTCTTTTCAGGACCCTGCTAATTGTAATGGTGGTAAGTGGATCATACGATTCAAAAAGGTTGTCTCAGGCCGTTTTTGGGAGGACTTGGTAAATCAAATTATTTATGTATTTTAAGTCTTTTTCTCTCTATCTTTTTCCTGCGGAACGTCTGACTGCCTTTTTTTTCCCCCCAGATAAATATAATGTCTTGTCAACTTGGTGAACAGTTCATTACTAATAATGATTAGTTAATGCCAGCATTTAAAATAATTTAAAGTGGTTATTGAAATTTGCTGTTACATCATTCTTGTATTTTAATTGGTTTATGGATTTCAATATGTCTTATTTTCACCATTGCTGGAGGTGAAGACGTTTCCTTGTTTATTTGTGTTGTGAAAATTGTCTCTTGGTTTCCCTATTCATGTTCCTCTAGTTGTAGTCAAACGTGTCTGCATTAGGGTTATGTGGGCTTCTCATTGGACCAATAGGTCCCAAGTTTCTTGCATGGATTCTTGTGCGATCGTTAGGTGGTTATCTAATCATTCCTGATTTGACCAAAAGGGAAAAAAAATTCACATGAAAAATGCTAATTTCACATGAAGATATCTCAATCTTCTGTTGCTTGCAACATAGATTTAGAAAAAGACAACCGAGAACATTTAAACCTACTTACAGAACCAACAAATGTTAAGTCTCATTGAAGGGGTTAGTTCCTTATAATATGGTGAGCCAAAGTCCAAGTCTCCATTGAGAGAAGTATTTATATTTAATGGTCAATCGTGTCTTGAATAAAATGGCTTCCAATAGGAGGAGATATGTGCACAACCAAAAAGAAAGAGCCTGCTTACATTTTTTTACATGGATTTTGAGTCTGGCCTCAACTGCAATATGAGAGTAAATCTGTACCAGCTAATGAGCGTATTGGGACTTACTGTAGAATTAATCATACATTCTTAACCTTTTGGAAACACCAGGGCATGATGCTGATTGGTTTGGTTGCCTATGTATCCTCTGGCTTCTTGGAGAAACATTGTAGGAGTATGTAATAGATCTCAAGTCTCCGAAAAGATTTTTAAAAACGAGTTGGAAAGAGTGTTGCGTGGGGTTAGCTCTTTCTCATGTGGCAGAAAAGTTCTTTAAATATTTTGGTTTGGTGGTTGACTGTTTAGAATACAACTGGCTCGTTTGATTAATAACTCTTGTTTAACTATTTTATTATTAGAAGTTAGAGACGGAGAGGCTTTTAAAATGTGCCTGATTGAACAATGTTTATTCTGTGAATTTTACTGTAAAATATATATATATATATATATATGTACGAGAGCATTTCAGTCAATAAGATTCTACATATGTGGTTGAATAAATTCTTGATTCTGTTTATTCGAATTCTTGCTTTCAAAGTTGTCCCCGTCAAATGCCTTTTAATTTTATATATGATGGCCAGTTATAGACAGACCTAATCACACCAGAAGTCTCTCTTGCTCAGTTATATGTCAATCATGTTCTGTCCTCATTTATTATCATTAAGAGTTCATCTTCTGGCTTCATAACAACAAAATACTGTCGTCTAGGGATGAAAATTGGTTACTGGAAATTTTGAGACATACTTGACCGTGCAGGTTCTTGCCTTAGTTGGTGACCAACTCGATTATGGAGATAACATATGTGGTGCAGTACTAAGCATTCGTTTCAATGAGGATATATTGAGTGTCTGGAACCGCAACGCATCTGATCATCAGGTTAGCATTATCACTGGTTCTCCGTGTCTGTTTGCACGTGCATGCGAAATGACTCGATTTTATTTATAATATTCTTAATTTTCTCAATCTAGGCCGTGATGGCTCTGAGGGATTCAATTAAACGTCACTTAAAGCTTCCCCATAACTATGTCATGGAATACAAGCCCCATGATGCCTCTCTGCGAGACAATTCATCCTACAGAAACACCTGGTTGAGAGGATAGAGCTACCTTAATTTCACTCTTACATTGGCTTCTGGGCACCGACACTGACGCATCAACCAATGATCTTGTTAATTATTGTCTACCTTGCACTGATTATCATGCTGGGTGTGTCGTGGCTAGTGTTCAGTTTGAAATCAACAATAGGACCGTTGTATTGCAATATTTTTGTGTCTTGTCTCTCGGTTAGTTGCAGTGTTTCGTATCTAGTTTTGGATGAAGAGCTTCAGTCCGCTGTAAATAAAGTTGCACACGCTATTCTTCTAAGGAAAGTGTTATTTCAGCTCGCTGAGGGATCGGAGCATGGTGTTAAAGCTAGATAAAATTTGCATGCCATTCAACCTCAACCCTTGAGGTGAAGTATTATTACAATATGACATGCCTACGATCAGATGACGACCACTGTTCCTAGCATTAATCTTGCGGATTTGTATTAGTTAGATATACTCACCTTATTTCACTAGTTGGCCAGAAAAAATTGGCATACTTGATTGTGTAACTAAGGCTTTTACTAAGGATGAAACTTGCGCTGAGTTATATCTTTTAGGGATATGTTCACTATCAATTTACAACACAGTAATTTTTTCATATAAAAATGGTAACCCTATTACAGAAGACCCAATCAAAAGCATATAATGGGGATAACACAATGTTCTTCCATCAGGTTGAAAATCTCCAACATGCATCGAAGAGAGCATGCTTCTAAGTTCTAACGGTCATCGCACAAGCTCAGAAAGTAGTAACGAAGTGGTAGCATGACCACTACTGACGAGAAAACTAATGGCCAATGTTTGCGTATATAGCATTTATGGATCGTCAACTATCTGCAGCCGAGGCATCTTAAAGACTTAAACAGATGATTGGAGGCCAATGATACCTGCTCCACAATTTACTATGGTCAGCCTTCAACCAACACGCAGAGTACACTGGAGACATTATTAAACCAAACCAAACCTCGCACAGATATGGTAAATTCTTCCGTTTTGATGTCCCCTAATTCAAAGGCTAAAATTGATGTGCCGTAAAGTTGAAAACCCCATGTAATTTTTCAAATAAAACTATGATTCGAAGAACGTATAATTTGTTAGATTAAAAACAGTATTAAATAAACAGTAATTCATTTAATAATAAATAAATATTGAAAGAGAATCTTGTTTTTATATAGGTTTTGAATTTTTATTAAATGGCTAGTTAATAAAGAGATTAAGAAAAAGGAAAAATGACAAAATTTTCCCAAAAATGGAGAAGCAATGTTTGGTTTAGTTTAAAGCAAAAATGATTGGTTTTTGTGTGTTTCATTGCACAGAAGAGAAGTATTACCGCATCCTACTCTTGCACCAGCATTACCAGTGGTCTTGCTTAGTTCATGGCCACCTGTTTCAACAAAAGATACGCAAAATCAACAGTTTCATAAGCAGTTCAGCCAGGTCTTAAAAAAAAAAAAAAAAACCCAGTGGCAAGCACATTAAACCAAGTGGAAAATTTAAGACAGTCTGAAAATAGGTACATGACACTAGGTACTACTCATTAGAATTTAGATATGGTATTAGAGCAGTACTAGATTTATCCCTAGTTTCGTAAGTATTTATTATTAGGTTCTCGAATAAAATCTATCACATGGAAGAATTTTTGTGATAGACCCATTCATTTGATACCGACCTAAAGCCATTATTTGTCATGAAGTTATTGAGAAACTTGGTGGCAAACACCTAAAAGTTGCGCCTGCGTTTCTTTATTTGGTGGAATGAATAGCAGAGAATTGATCAAATGTGCTTCACAACCTTGTACCTTAATGAAAAGTAAATACTAATAGGTCAATTTGAGGGAAAACACATGGTAAATTGGACTTCTGTCTTAACCTGAAATGCTGAAATATAATTGAGCATGTAGATTATTTTTAACCCGAGTAATACATGCACAAAATATTCGCTCTTCGCAGGGAAAAAGAATTCGATTCACACTAGATGGCAATCAACATATGCCTTCCCAGAGAATAAACTACACGGCCATTTAATTTCCAGCTCCCCTTGACCGTATATCAAGTAATGATTGCCATGCTTTTACTTGAATATCAAGTGTCACTGTCTAGAGAAGCACTGTACACTCCAACTATTGATAAAAATTCAACTTTTGGCTTTGCTTTTAAAAGGCCTACACTCGTTCGCCTTCATCACATCCTAGGCGTGATTTTGAAGCTTTGTTTGACCTTTTAGGTGCAAATATGTGCAGTTACCACATTCATTTCAATTATCATAGCTGCAAAATGGACATATCTCGATATCCGCAACTTCATTCTGAAGTCACTTCAGGTAACAACCTCGCGAGTATAGTTTAAACACATTTTCTGCATAGGATCTGCATTAGAAACAATATTTGGGTAGCAATATCCAACCATATATGTCAGTGATTAGTTTTCAACCATTAGAATTTAGAAATAGAAATATACTATCACAAGTAAATTATATTTTCCAATATGGAATGTCAACTTCAGCTGGAAAAACGTGTGCCATGCATTCATAATGAAGCATTCAGGTTGAGACATGAGAAGAGACTCATATTGTGTCTAAGTTAAACAGCTACTCTATTCGTATGTATGATATGCATAGGTAACCAATGAACGAGTATGCTTCATAAGCAAAGGCTTTTGTCATTGTAGCAGTAACAGGATTAAAAATGGGCCTTAAATACGAGGAAGAAAAGGAAAACAGCCAAGAAATATGCAACATGGAATGTAATGGAACAGAACCAGTCAGGAATAGTGATTCTTATTTTAATGTTCTCATGTAAAACTTTTAAGGGTAGTCAGGACAATGTGCTTAAATAGATAACCAACTTCAGCACCTTATATCGTAAAATGATATAACTAGGAAAAGTAAAAAAATTGACATTGATGGAGCGAATTTGGAGCCAAATTTCAGATTCTTACCTCTGCCAAGATCGTCAGGATCAGCATGCACAACAACTGCCCTTCCAAGTATGGAATGAACCCCACTTAGTGGTATCTGCAGGTTGAAAGGGAAAAGGGCCATGTTAAAGCACTTTCCCAATTAAAGTGAAATATAAATTTCACTAACACAGTATGAACCAAATGATCAGTACAACAGGGGCGAGTGTCTACCTGTCTGTCTGTGATTGAAACATTAGCAACCCCTACAAAAGATAATGAATACAATAAATTCCTCACAAAGAAAAGAATCAAGTAAGAGTATCAACATAAATGTGGAAAATAAAAATGGTAAATACCATCCATGCCTGCAACAATGTTACCCAAATCTCCAGCATGACGCTCATCATCTGTTCGCGCCCCATGGTCCTTCTTGAAGGGATTGAAATGAGGGCCTGCGATTCAGAGCAATTCATCACGGGAACTAATTCGCAAACATAAATGATACTCCGCTAGAGAAGAGTGCGAATTCGTTATGACTCGATGAAATAAAATTCCGAACCAGTGGAATTGCAGCCATTAGTGGTGTCACCGAGGGCGTGAATATGGAATCCGTGAAGGCCAGGGGACAACCCAGTGATTCTCCCTTTTACATGAGTAGTTCCTGCAGAAATTTACTCAAAATTAGCTGAATTTCGGATTAAACAATCACAACAGCTTCAATAGAAAAAAGGAAACAAAAAATGTAGAGTAAAAGACCATCGGGGTGTTGCACAAACTGAAGAGCTCCTCTGATGCTGTTATCTCCGGCGATCAGAGCCACGGCTTTCACAGTCACCTTCGCAGCTTCCATGCCTCGCCTGCTTCGTTAATTTCGCTATCAGCTCATGTCTCCTTAACGTCCGTCCACAGAAATAAGGGTACCAGCAAACTCGAGAAGCAACTCGTCCACCATCACAATTACGAGAGTAAAATATGCCCAACCTTCTGTTAATTTTTTGGAAAAATAGTCCCAAGTGGCCGTTTTTACATTTTTTTAATCTTTCGATGATTTCATGTATAGAATGTAAGTTTGTAGTTACAAGGTTAATCATTTAGATAACTTATGCATCGGAGAAATTATATAATTTTTGGGAGAAATAATTTAACAAAATACATATTTATTTTTAGTATTAAAAATAATTTATATATTTTGATTGTTTGTAATTCATTCTTTAAATTTTAATTCATTATAACTCAATTCTTATAATTTTAAGTAATTTTTAAACTTTAATTTTTTTAAACATTAGTTCGTAAATTTGAAAAAATAATTTCCTTTTTTATAATTTTATTTTTTAAAATATAATATTAATATTGTAAATGCTTAAAATTATAAGGATTGAGTAGTGTCCTGTCAAAGTTCAACAATTAAATTTTAATTGAGTTAAAACTATAAAAAGTAAGTAATTAGTTTTCACATTCAACAACTATATTCTTGTTTTAATTGTTTTCAATGATAATGCTTAATCAGGAGAGAAAAGGGGAATATGTAAAGTTATGGTGCGAACTTAATGATGAATCTGTATAATAAATCTACCTTTCAGCTGTAGACAGACATAAATATGAAGACTGAAGAGAGGAAATACACATTTGGTTGAGAAACCCAAAGACAAAAGCAGGGTCTTCATTTTTGAATATTTTCTGAAGAATAAAAGAAGTAAAAGCATGGATAAACTATTAACCGAGTGCAGGAAATTAAATAATCTTTCAAGGGGTGGCAAATATGAAATATTAAGAAAGAACAGAAGGATCTGAATGCTAAACTTAAGATGTTGAATCTCATGAAGAAGACGAAATTGATCACACTTTTATGTTTGTCCCTTTTTCTGCACATGTGGTGTCTGGTTTTATATTGTTCCTAACTGTGCAGAATCAATGGCGTGCCAAGAAGGTTACAGACTTCCATAGATTATGGAATTTAGATTAGACATCATCAAAGGTTGTGCAGCAACAGGTAATGTTAACATAATAAAACAACAACAACAACAAGCCTTTATCCCACTAGGTGGGGTCGGCTACATGGATTGCAAGACGCCATTGTGCTCTATCATTTATTAAGCTTTTAGAAATATTATTAATTAAGAGATCACGTTCAACAACTTCCAAGAGTGTTCTCTTAGGCCTTCCTCTACCTCTCTTAATCGGACTCAAAGTTATATGTTCCACTCTTCTCACTGGTGCCTCCCTTGGTCTTCTTTGTACATGCCCAAACCATCTCAACCGATTTTCTACCATTTTTTCCTCAATAGGTGCCACCCTCACTTTTTCACGTATGTGCTCATTTCGAATTTTATCTTTACGTGTATGTCCGCACATCCATCGTAACATTCTCATCTCTGCTACTCCAACTTTATGCTCTTGCTGTCCCGTTAGAGCCCAGCATTCACTACTATATAACATTGCCGGTCTGATAGCAGTACGATAAAACTTTCCTTTAAGTTTATTAGGCACCTTACGGTCACAAATAACTCCTTTAGCTTTTCTCCAATTAAACCACCCAGCTTGAATTCTATGTGAAATATCTCCACTGATTTAGCCATCATTTTGGATAATGGCTCCCAAATATCTAAACTTTTCCACTTGAGGTATAATTTGATCTCCCAATTTTACTTCCAAATTATTTTCGAATAGTCCTTTATCAAATTTACAATATAAATATTCCGTCTTACTTCTATTCAGACGAAAACCTTTCGACTCCAATGTCCTCCTCCATAACTCAAGTTTGCAATTAACCTCTTCTCTTGTCTCTGCTATAAGAACTATATCATCCGCGAAGAGCATACATTTCGGGATTTCCTCTTGAATATGTTCCGTCAAAACATTTAAAATCAAGTTGAACAAATAAGGACTCAGAGATGATCCCTGATGTAGCCCAATCTTTATAGGAAAATCCTTTGTTTGACCACTAGGCGTTCTTATACTAGTTTTTACCCCCTCATACATATCTTGTATGGCTTTAATATAAGCAATCCGTACTCCCTTTTTTTCCAACGCTTTCCAAAGCACTTCTCTTGGTATACGGTCATAAGCTTTTTCCAAATCAATAAAAACCATGTGTAGATCTTTATCTTTACAACGATACTTTTCCATTAATCCCCTTAGTAGATAAATCGCCTCTGTAGTTGATCTACCTGGCATAAAACCAAATTGATTCTCAGAAATACTTGTCTCCAATCTCAACCTGTGCTCAATTACTTTCTCCCACAATTTCATTGTGTGGCTCATGAGTTTAATCCCTCTATAGTTAGTACAATTCTGAATATCTCCTTTATTTTTATAAATAGGAATTAATGTACTTCTCCTCCACTCATCAGGCATTTTCTTGGACCGTAAAATCACATTAAATAACTTAGTTAACCATCTCACCCCTTCTTCACCTAAACATAATAAAGAGAGGAAAAAAACATTAAATTCCTCTTATTTGTGGTTGTATTGGACATGAGGATTAGCCTGCCTTTTCATGAATATATTAGTGTTTATGCTGTATCCTATGATATCTCTTAAAATTGACCAATTCCCATAGACAGGTCCCCCATTTTGGGCTAAAATCTTGCAGCTAGTAGTTTTTTTTTTTTTTTTTTTTTTCTCGCGAGAACCAAGCCCTGCTTTAGGACATGTCATTATTGTTATTTAAAAAAAAATGATAGTTCAAGATGAACTATTTATTAGTATAATCTATGAATGGTCTTATCTGTTTATATATTTTATTATATATATTGGTCATGATTAAACATCTTGAAAACTAAACTTGTTTCCAAGACCATAAAAGCAACTCACTACTCAGTATGTTCATTAAGTGATCTCTGTAAGGTCAGGAAATCAAGGTGTGAACATATGAAACATAACTAATTTTTTAAGAATAAACTTATGTTTGTGGTCCTTGAGATAAATTTTGATTTTCAAAGTCCATAAATATTGTTGATACAGGTTATGAGTCCTTAAGTGTTATTTTAATTTTTTTTTTCCACGCAATTGTATGCTTGTCGCTTGACTCGCCAACTCTTGGAACCGCTGTGGAATAACCCACACCTATCAATTTCAAGTCCTTTTTAACTCAAAGATGTTTGTTCTAAAAAAAAAAAAAAAACTCTAAGATGAATTCATTAGGAGAATGTATGTAGTTTGGTTGTTTTGTAGATATTTCTAAATATGGCTCAATGTAGCCTCCATGGGCCAAAGGGAAGAAAAGAAGGATAAGGATTCAGAAAGTACAACCATTTTTTTTTTATTAAAAAAGAGCTTTTGGGTCCACAAGGTAGATACAAGTTACGTATTTGAAATATGAGCAACAAAACATATATCATCACAAATGATGAGTGACATAATCTTCAGTCCTTTTTACCAAAAAAAAAAATAATAATAATAAGTTGGTCACTTTTAAGATGGTCAATTCATAAGGGGTTGGCATATGTGATAACTACAAGCTGCCATAATCTATTTGGAGATTTAAAATGTGTGCGTAGCTAATCTAGACCATCAAAAGGCATGATACATGCGGATATAGTAAACCTAAATCCCAGAAGATCTGGAAGCACTCCTTTTGAGTTAGGATCATAACTCTTTTGGCTTCTTCACAGGCAAAATATTCTGATGGAACTGCCCGAAAACTGTAATTAGATTCGATAGTAACTTGTAAAGAAACTTTAACGCTCAAAATACCAAGTTTTCACCCAAACACATTCTTAAAAATCATAGATACAAAAGATACTTCAGGATTTACATTGGAGAATATTTCGGTACAGATATGAGAAAAACAAAGCACTCACAAATAGCTAATGCAACTCGCTTTCTGGCTAATATTTATGAAGCAGTGAGGCTAGCAAAACTCTATCTCAAGTCAAGATCCTGAACTCTTCCTGATTCATGAGTTTATTTATGAAAGATGGCGGATCATAGTATTAATTTGGAGCATTCAAGATACATCAGAAAGATTGATTAAAGGTCACTAAGAGCTTTGAATTTAGCAGAACATTGACCATAAGGGTGGGAGATCCCAGAGAGCTTCTTCATTAGAGTCCTGGACAGTCTCCATGTACTCATGCACTCCATTAATTGCATAGAGAGAGGCTGATATTTGCCTTTCAAATTTCATCCTCTCAAATTCTGAAAGCTCTAACTCAACTGTACCAGCTGTATCAGCGATACCATCAGGCTTTGGCACGTCCAATACTTGAGCAAAAGGAAAAAGATCAACGAAAGGTCCAAGTGCCCATGAAGGATTAGATTGGGAACCTAGATCAAGACCTTCCCTGCAACTGCTCAAATCTGGTCTATAACCATCACCAAATAACTCTGTGTTCTGAATTTTCCCACTAGAAAGAGTGCTCTCACTTTTGTCACCATTGCTCAAGTCTGAGCTCCCAGTAGTACTTGTACTAGTAGAGCTAATGGCGCTGACTCTTGAGGAAGAAGCATCCACATCTTGTTCCTTGGTTCCTTTTCTGTTCTTAAGCAGATTTCGAATACGAGAAGCGAGAGGTGAATCTGTGGAGACACGGGTGATGAAGTTGGTGCGAGTGTTGGATCCTCGAAGAAGGCAGGCAGCTTCATCATAAGCCCTGGCTGCTTCTTCTGCAGTCTCAAATGTGCCAAGCCACATTCTTATCTTCTGGGTTGTGTCTTTGATCTCAGCCACCCATCTTCCAGAAGGTCTTTGTCTCACCCCTACAAATTTGTTTGTGCCATTGTTCTTGTTCCTTCCTTTGAATTTGCCTCCTCTGCTGATTGGAACAACTGCTGCTTTCTCATGCTGCTTTGGTTGCTGGAAGTGAATTTCCATGACAAGGTGTTCAACAGATGGTGTTTGAGGGATATAAGCAGAAACTAGTTCAGCTTTTAATGAGGTAGTAGAAGGCTATTCTTCATGCTGCTTGCTGCAAGTTGTGGGATTATATTATAAATGGATGAATAAAGTTGCCCCTCTTTCAAGTTTGCAAGTGGTATTAATATAACAGAAACACATCATCTTAAGATTCTTACATTTTTTTATGTCTTGCATGAAATAGACAAAATTAACCTTCAAATTCAGTTGCCTCCTTTACCGTAAACAGATCAGGCTAGAAGTTATTTACTGTCCCCTCTAGGCTTTGCTGTCTGAAACAGTCAAGATTCAGTTTAAAATGTATACCAAATATAAAATCCAATTGCATTGCTTTTCTTCTCTCAACAATTTAGCTTTGACAATGCATTTTGGGAAAACTAATTGATACCGTCATATTTTAATGTCAAGCAGTTAACTATAAATATGTGTGTTAGTTAATTTTCACTCAAATCATGACATTTTGTGATAGAAATTGAAGTCTCTTTTTTAAAAAGGTACTGTTACCTAATCATCGATCTTATATCTTGAAACGCCATTAAAAATAACTTTTAGTCAATGTCCAATATGAGAAATGATCCTTAGGCCATGCCAAAGAACATGGAATCACCAAACCACCTAGAAATCTCCAGAAGGAAGAGAGAGAGAGAGAAAGAGAGTAAGAACTTAGGATTTGAGAGGATTGATAAATATCCTATCTTTGTCTTATCTTCCTCCAATTTTTTCCCAGTCAAACAGTTGAAAGGAGAGAACTTGAAGGCATGAATGATAGCCACATGGAGGTCCCAAAACCATCCCCTCATATGTACCCTTAAACCAAGACACAAAACCATGCTTGAAATTGAGGTGGACCAAGCAAATGATCACTTGACCATTTCGTTTGTTATGTTCTGTTCATAGATTCTCCCTCACCAGCAAGCTTGTCCGTCTGAGTTTCTAATCGACTGAGAAAGACATTTAAGATATTTCAATTTGAGCGAATCATGCAACTTTCCTTGTCTCTAAGTTCTTATAGTGACAATTGAATAATTAATTATTGGGTGACCCTAAAATTCACAACGGATCCTATGTTAGACGTGAATGGAGATATGGGGAAAAGGACATTAGTGTTATCGTATTCTTTAAGTTGGCTATCTAACTTGGCATTGTTATCTTTCCAAATCTTTTAAAAATTTAAATTTATGCAAGTTAAAAATCATAATAATTAATTAGCAGATCGAGAGATTAGGATTTCATTGGTTACCATGATGTTACTGGTAAAAAAAAAAAAATTGATTACCATAATGATAAGAAGATAAATTTGTCTGAACTTAACTATTTCAAAAAATATATATATAACGCTTAGTTTCTGATTAAAGATAAAAGAAATTGTATTTGTTTTATAATGTGATGATCGATTTATTTCATGAGAAAATCTGATGATTGACTCTTTTCTTCTCTTTTCTTTTTGGATACAGGATCTAGTTTTTAGTACTCAATAAAATAAGAGATATGAAGATGAATGATGTTTAATGCTTCAAGTTAACATTGAGTATTATTGAAATAAATCTTGATCCTAACGATCCTGCATGCGTCATATGATATATCAATGACGAACCAAAATCGAATCATTGAACTGAAAATTGTCAAGAGTACATGATTAACAATTTCGTTTTTAAGAAAATCTTTGCCGTACATTTACCTGCCTGCCTCCTGCCTACAAATTTGTAAATGAAGATATACGGGGATTTAGAGCTAGCTTCTTTTAAAATCATTTATTCTTTATAAAAGAAATTTTTTTGTGAGATTTTATGGTATTTGTTTAAATTTTTTAAAATAATCAGAATCTAAAAAATATATTTTTTGATTATTTTAAGAACCTACTTGAAGTAGTTTCTAAAAATAATCTAATGAGAGAAATGAGAGAGAATATTTTAAAATTACATGAAAATTTTATAAAGTTTTAAAATATTCAAATAATAAATTATTTTTATAAAACAGAAATCAATGAAAATATCATAAAATTTAAACATAACTAATTAATAATTATTTTACTATTGTAACTGAACATAAAATAATATATGCTTTTTATAAAATCCCTACAAAATAAATTTACTTTTATAAAATCTCTTAACTATTTTAAAATAAATTAATTTTTAATCTTGAATAAATGAACCCTTAAATGCTGTTTCGATAGAAATTGACGGGGCAAAAAGTTGATCTAACCCTTTGCATATGATGGGAGTCTTATTTCATGTTTTAAATGTATTTTGTGTAAGCCCAGTCAACATGTAAGAGTACACTCATAAAATTGTGAACTGGCCCTTTGCATCTCGTGAAACAACACTTTTCACTACTTTGAGTGAAAATCCATTTAAAAAAGGACAAATCTGCCGTCATGGGTTACTTCTCACCATGAATATGAGAATCTCGAACTTAGAGACTTGTACGATTGCCATCGAACCAAGTGATGTATACCGCAGAGGAGGACGTAGTTTGCGATGATTTGATTATAAACGGATAGAAAGCAAATGCAACACATTTGATCGGAAACTGTCCTTTTTAAATATTATTTTGGGACATTAAAGGGAGTGGCCGCAATATTGGAATGCAAAGGGGCGGAAAGAGAAATCAGAAACCGTTATAAACAAGCTTATAAATACAAAATAATCAAATAAATAGTTTGTGACATCAAAGGGCAAATAAATTACCAAAACTGTTAAAAACTCACAAAAAGACACAAAATGCTACATGAGTGGCTGGGGTCACACCTTGTCCCGCCATCCAGAGGCAGGATCAAGTTGTGAGTGGTGATTCCTTCTAGACAAAGGATTCCTTGCGAACAACACTTTGATGCTCACATTCTATACCAAGAATTTCAATTCCAATTCAACACCGCTCTGAGGGACAAACCATGCCTCAGAAGTTCCGGGAAGCATTACCAAAACCGGATTCGGCAATCAAAAAAGACGAACCAGAGAACCAGACAGAGCAGATTCTCAAAAGGACACTCCAATGCCAAAGGAACAACTTGACGCAGCAGCTTTCCTTCAATATGTCTTGTGAGAAGGGACCATCGCCAACACACCATAAAAAGACGACTAGGATGATAGGATGGACTGCAGTGCAAGTTGTTGCTGGGGCTGCAAGGATGACCAAGTTGAAGCGAGGGTAGAAGGCGGCAAAGTCTGCTGAAGCTGCCTCAACAGATTAATCATCCGACTTGCAGTTTGTTCAGTTGCCAAATCATTGCCCGCACATAAAACCTTTCCAACCATAAATGGAAACAAGTTTTAAAAACGGTAAAGGAAGTAGCGCCAACGTCTCACAGAAATAACTAGAGGCATGACCACAAAATCATAATGGATATACCTCAGCAAAAACAGCAACTATTTTGGGAAGATATTGATGGTTGGTACCTAAAAGTTCTTTATCTGACCTGTCAGACGCATAAAACATGCTCTGGATCAATTTCAAAAGGGGCAGCACATAAGGTAGATAGCATTCAGCCAACATGCTCCAGATCTGGATCGAAAATTTACCTTTCAACCATGGAACAGAGTTGGTCATGCACAACCTTGGCCTCAATCAAATCACCCTTTATAGGCAAACAATTTAGCCAGACAGGAACAAGCTGACACCAAACAAAAGGAAAAATGATAAAACCAATAAAACAGGCAAAGATATAATAAAATTTGAGGTTTCTGCAGATAAGCATTCAATAACATCACATCTAGAAATCAAACACAGAAGCAGAGGATATTTATGGTGAACTTCATTTCTACCAGGTAAGTACCCAGGGAAGCCACAAAAAAATTTTAGCAAAAGCCAAAAGATTACAGCCCCGCACATTTTTAGTACCCAACAAAAGCAAGTCAGAATCTTGATTCTAGAATGATTGATGTGGGGAATTTTTCAATAGCCAAAGCACTAATTCACAATTGAGAGTAAGTCAACAGGAACAGCACTTTGAAAGACAGTGAAGATAGGCAGCAGCTAAATGCTAAGTACCTGTGTGGCATTTATACTATCTCGGTGGAACTGGCATATTTTTCCAAAAGCTGAGACAGCATTGTCATATGCCATTACATTATCTGAATGAAGAGCATTTGGATGCCGCATCACAGCATCTAACCTTGAAAGTGCCTCTGCAATAGAAAAAGGTAAGTTTACCACAGCAATACTCGAAGTTAAAAGGCAACATTAAAGTAGAATTAAGCAATTAACCTCCAACAAAGGGTTTGAAAACAGATCCACCAAACTCTGCACAAACACCAACCCCATAAACAGCTGCCTGAAAAGGGCATTCAATTTGGATGAATAAGAACCATCAAAATATACTGGAACTTTGTGTAAAATAGGAATCAATAGTCAAGTCAAAGGAAAAACCTGCCGAACATCTGCACACTCATCATTGCAAGCTTCAAGTAGGAATGGAAGGTAAAAATCATAATATCTGTTTCCGCATGAATTTTAAGGAATTAGAATAATTCAGAAATTCCAGGTTCAAAAAAGAAGATTATTCAAATGAAAGTTCATACAATTCAAATTTGAACAAAAAGAAAGGTGAAACTCTTACTTAAGAGCAGCTTCACGACAGTGCTCAGCAACATCATCAAATATACAAATGGCAATTCTCCTTTCCTCTGAGGTTTTATCTTTACCCTGTTTAGTGATGAGAAGTGAAAACATTGAGATAGAAACGTAAATAAAAAAAAATGCATTTGAAGAAAACTCAAGGTTTTTAGACCAAATGATTCTCCAAGACACTGACAACACATTGGCACTCTTAGCAAGTGATAGACAGATGCTACGAGTGATATTTGTATCCAATTTCAAAACGTTAGATCAATTAATTATCCATCACATCAAGTTACAATCCCATTGAAAATTTTGTAGTAATTGCTATCAAACAGATCCACGTAAGATAATTGTTGTCAAAAAACCATGGAAAATTGCAAACTAGCATATAAATAAAATGTTTAATATTATCCCCCTTTTGGACATTGGTATTGATTCATCAGGTTTTTTTTTTTTTCCTAAGCACACTGTCTGAGTGACAGCTAAATAAC